AGGACAGAGTGGAACTGCCCCACAGGGTCTCCAAGGCTGTCAATCTTCACAGAAGCAAAGCCCAAACCAAACCCACTGCCCTGGAGTCCATTCTGACTCACAGCACCCCTAGAGGACAGAGTGGAACTGCCTCACAGGGTTTCCAAGGCTGTAAGGCTTTACGGAAGTGGATTGCCACATCTTTCTCCTGAAGAGGGGCTGATGGGTTCAAACCACTGACCTTTTGGTTAGCGGGCCAATGCCTTAACCACAGTGCCATCAGAGTAGTCAATAAATGCTAGTTCTCCCTGTCTCCCTTAGGGGTGCCAAAGCCAAGTAAATTAATATATGTGAAAACATTTGGAAGACTTTAAAGTGGTTGGCAAATGTCTTACATAATTTTTTTTTATCATATAACTGAAAATGTTACTGCCCGTTGTTGTTAGATACCATTGAGTCAATTCCTGACTCATCGCAATGCTGTGTGACAGAGTAGAACTGTCCCATAGGGTTTTCTAGGGTGTCATCTTGAAGGAAGAAAAATCACCAGGTCTTTCTCCTGTGCAGCAGCTGAGTGGGTTTGAACTGCCAACCTGTGTGTAGGTAGCCAAGCACTTAAATGTTATGTGAGCTACCAGAGCTCAAGACAACAATTGCCAGCAGGTCAATTCTGACTTAGGACGACCCAACAGGACAGAGTGGAACTGCCCCTTAGGTTTCCAAGGCTGTAATATGTACGAGAGCAGGTCAGCAGGTCTTTGTCCTGCAGAGTGGCAGGTAGGTTTGAACCGCCGACCTTCTGCTCAGCAGCGAAGCGTTTAAGATCTGTGCCAGCAGGACTCCCTTCCTGACCATGAAGGGTCATACTTTCACACCAGAGGCGATTGGTGTTCCTGAAGCTCTTCGGCCACAATGAGGAACAAGCCGGATGCTACAGAGGTGGTTTATTAATGAATGAATCCATACAGTAAAGGAATGCCAACACTCAGAATCCCAGGTCGGAAAACGGCAGAAGCAAAAATCAGCCAATCAGGCAGAAGGCTAATTAACAGTCACAAGTTGCTAGGAAAAAGATTACTACAATAATAAATAGAAATAGGCACTTCAGTAACCATTGGCAGATTATGTAGATCTGGACGCAAAACTAAGATGAGCTCGTTCTTAGCACTAGAATAAGAATTTTAGAGTTAAACGAACTTCAGCCTGCCTTGTCCACAGTCTATTTTAATTTGTTAAATAGAATTCTACAAGTAAGTAACTCAGTCTTGAGATGCAATGACTTGGGATGTTGGTAGAGAATTGAACGCTCAGGGTGTCTCACTTGAAGTCGACCCTGAGTTTTCTTATGAACTGAGCCCCCTCTCTCCCGCCCCTTCTCGCAGTCAGGCTCCTGTTCATCTTTGCAGTGGTCCCGCTCTCGGTGCTGCGGTCCATGCTGTCCAAAGCGGTTCGTCCCACCGAACAAGGTGAGCTTCACCGGCTTAAGGAGGGGGATGAAGGGACAGTCTGTCCCAACACAGGTCTGCGCCTGATCCACGTTTGATTCTCGATGCTTCGGCAGCTTGGGCGATCCACTTCTGTAGCGCCGCGGAAACCCAAGGAGGGGTCGCCGTGAGTCGGATCTGACTCCACGGCAGTGGGTATGTCAGGAAAGGGCTCTAGAGGGCTCGCGCTGCCCGGGAGGCTGGGAGGCCTCAGGGCTGAGGGGATACACCCCCTGGGAGCTGAGAAGGCCCCTCCTCTACGGGACTGCACTCTGGCGACTGAGTCCCCCCAACTCCCAGCCCAAACAGCTCCGGGCTCTTCCGTTGAGTGCCTGGGGGATCGGCGTCCTCAGACCCTTCTTCTCAGGGTGCCTACCTCTAGGCCAACAAAAACGCACTGCCGTCGAGTCGGATCCGACTCATAGCGACCCC